CAACTATTATGATGATAATTTCTTGAGGGGATCGGGAAAGATATGGCGCATCATAGAAACATCCACTTACAAGCAAGGAGATAGATAGAGTCGACTCTATCAAACAACCTCATGGCTGTAATTATGAACCACATGAATGATGATATACGTAATAATATATCATTAACCATAAACACACATATACAATAATATGTAATAACTCATTATATACCTGGTATATATACCTGGTATCGCTACCCCGCTGTACTATCTAGCTAGTTATTATATGTATGTTATTACAGGGTGGTTAACTTCGCCAGCGGCCCCCTTTCCCGGGGCAGTCCCTGCTCTCCCCTGCTAGAGGGGCACCCTAATCCGTCACCCCATCCGACTTCAGAATGTATTCGTTGGGTTCGGCAACTCACCACCAGCATCCAACCAAATCTAGCGGATCAACGGCGCATCAACTTAGTTCCTGGTCAGCTCGCAAGTTGATATTATCACGTCCTACACCGTCCATATGATGGGGGGCCACCTCCCATTTCATCACTCCTCAAATACCCGAGGAGCTGGCAGGCGGATTTGAACCCGGGTCGACTGGATCGACTGGGAGCAGAAGTCAGGCCTTAACTTCTGCCAGCCGCCTGCCTTATTGCCTATTATATATATATATAGCACTCGTGGAACGGAACTATATATATATATATATAGCACTCGTGGAACGGAACTATCTTAAGATGCCACTTATCCGCTTAGTAATTACTTAGGGCCATCTTGGTACCAACTACAGTGATACTTACCAACGGCGATAAGAGCTTCGTATGTCGCAGCTCTACTAGCTAACTGCCAAACACACAAAGTAACTTTAATATCTTTTTTCTTATCTCACAGAACTAAGCAAGAATGTTACAAAAGCTCTTGCAGCGCTGCAAGGTATTTAGCTTACATCTGTCCCAGATTTAAAATTTTCGTAAATGTGAGCCCGAACAGCTCAACAGTGGCAGTGAAATGTCAATCTTACACCTCCAGAAAGTAATTCCATTGAGCAAGCATTTGCCCCTAGTAAATGTTACTTCATATTTGTTTGAAGTTCTTGATATTCATTACTTCATAATTGCTTGATCATGAAGTTCTTAATAAATGTCACTTAATATTTGTTTGGAGGACTTAGTATTCGGGACTAAGCGCTTCGAGTACCATTAGTATGTAACATGATACTAAGTGACCTACTAAGCGGCCTATTAAGAATGTTACCAGGTAGCTATGAAGGACATATGAAGTGGGTAGCACTAAGATGGTATTAAGAAGATACTAAGTGGTGGCGTTCCACGAGTGTAGATAATATATGCACCACACAATTAATATCCAAGCATTTCGTAGATCACCGGTGGGCAGTGCACGAAAACCCCTGCTACAGCTGTGAGCTCAGTCAACGAGCACTGTACAGAACAGTATACATAGATATATATTCCGGCAGGTAGAGCCCAGAGCTCTGCCCCTCGAGGGAAGCAAAACATGTCATCAGGTCATGACCTGTTCCCCAGTTTCCATGCACTGATGATCATCAGTGCACGGAAACCCCAATGAGACCAATAATAACAAGCACTATAACCGAGGTAAAGATAGCCCAGCAAATAGAGGCTGGCAGGGGGGCCCCGGGGGCACCGGGAAAGGTGTACCATGGACCCCACAAGCCAACCTCAGTCCTCATGACTGATCAGTCCAGCAGGGGGAACACCATAAAAGACTGCGGACATACATTGTACCCAACACTTGTACAAGCAACAGTTTTAATTGCCAGGAGAGACTTTAGATAGAGCTGTATGTGCAGTGCGTGGGTGTCAAAGGACAGGATGTATGGTTGAGGATAGTGTGAGTAGCCAGAGCATGCAGGGGCCCCTAACATCACCCTACCTCTTTCCCTCCCTCCCTCCCTCCGAAAAACACGTGCTTACCAGCAAAATCGCCAAGCTGCCGGCTGGTCGCCTGTTTAGCTAGCTAGCTCTCCCGAGTAGTGCCTGGTGCATATGCGGGTAGTAGATGGTTGCACACAATTGTGTGCGGCAGAGAAGTGAACCGGAACCGTCTCGTGCATTCTCATCATCACCATCATCATCACCTCGTGCATTTTGGGGAATTGGATGCATCCCTCCACCAGGTTTACATCCGTTCTGCACCCCGATGATCCATACATGATCCATGCGTCGGCATGCATGCAGACGCCGTCGCGCACCACGTCCAAAAGGGGAGTTGCGGGAATCGAACCCACGACCTCTCGCACCCGAAGCGAGAATCATACCACTAGACCAAACTCCCTCTTGCTTCTCCTGAGGGGACCGAGTTGCCCCTTATATACACCTTGTACTGCAGCTGCTATACACACACATCCGTATAGCACGCGTGTGTATAGCGTACGCACGCGCGCATACACACAGACACGCACACACACAGACACGCACACGCACACGTGTGCACACACACACAACACACACACACACACACATTCACGTACGACAATGCACGAGGCGGGGGATCCTCAGAGTCGACC